GTTGGTAATATTCTTCTTACACTGGCTCCTCATATGTCCTTGTTTTCCACAGTTCCAACAGCCTTTCCTGCTGTATCATCTCCCCTGTGTAGAAGTTTCCAGCATTGAGCTCTCTTGTGCCCAGGTTTATTACAGTGCAAGCAAAGTCCCTCAAACCTCTCTGAAAGCTGACCTTTTCTGGCCTTGAATCCAGATGACTGTACCAACCTCGGTACCTCTGTGCTGGACTTAGCATAGGATTCAAATTCGAGAGCTCTGGCCATTGCATCCTGCATGGTAGAGGGGTGTGCTTGCTTCACTTGTATCTTAAGTTGTGGACTGTCCATGGCATCCACGAACTGATCCCTCTGTAACAACTTGAGGAGATCGGGTGATGCAGTTGGGTAGGCCTTGTGTGCCATGCTTTCCAAGTCTTGTGCCAGCTCTCCCCTTTAGCACGGATTCTCGTCCTAAACCTAGCTCTGTAGACTTCCGACTGATTTTGGGTTCCGTACCTGAGTTCTAGAGCCGCTACCAGTGCTCTATAGTTGTGCCTGTCGTCTGCTGACAACTGTCCAAATATTTCCAGTGGTTGTTCCTTCAAGGTCGTTGCCAGATATACTGCTTTCTGCTCCTCTGTCCATCCATTTATTTCTGCCAGTAGCTCAAATTGTGCTCTATATGCTTTCCACGGTGCCTTCCCATCGAATTCCTGTGGCTTCCTTTGTACTGGATCTCTCCTATTACTGACATTCATATCTGGGATGTGACTTCTTACAGGACTGAAGATGTCTGCATTAGGGTTTAGCTGTGGGGTCTGGAAGGGGCTTCCCATTGTCTGGGGCTGATTAAGTCGATTGTTAATGTATCATCTTTGTGTAAAAGACAATAAATCATCCTTTAATGTATCTAATTCGGTTTTAAATTTACTAATGTTTTCCATTTGTGTACTCTGACTTTCTCTCAACTGTTGGAGACTTTCTTTATGTTTATTTTCTTTCTCCTCCAGCCACTGCTGTAATCTCTCTTTTTATTTTGCTGTTCGAGGTGCCACTGTTGCAAGTTATCTTGCCAATGCTGTAATCTCTCTCCTTGTTTCTTTTTTTTCCCCCTCCAACAGCTGTTGTAATATCTCTTCTTGTTTATTTTGTTGTTCGAGCTGCCACTGTTGCAAGTTTTCTTGCAAAGGCTGTTGTCTCTCTTCTTGTTTCTTTTTTTTTCCTCCAACAACTGCTGTAATTTCTCTTCTTTTTCCTCCAACAACTGTTGTAATGTCTCTTCTTGTTTATTTTGTTGTTCGAGCTGCCACTGTTGCAGGTTTTCTTGCAACTGCTGTTGTCTCTCTTCTTGTTTCTTTTCTCGTTCTTGTATTGCTGCCATCAAATTTGCTAAGCTGTAGTTTGATTTTCCGCCTCTCGTTTCCATTTTCTTCTTTTTTATTTTCTATCCCATTTCTGATACCAATTTGTTACGTCTCTGGTCGTTAGTTAATTACCCGTATAATTTCTTTCCGATGAAAGTTTAGCGACAAAAGTCCTTTCTTAAATAAAACTGGTTTATTCTTTCTGAATACAACTTTGCAATACACTTAATTTCCACGGTCACGCTCTAATTCACAACGAATGACTCACGTGCTCGACTCAATCGTCAGTCTCTCTCTGTTTGTTTGTTTTGGAATTTCGCGCAAAGCTACACGAGGGCTATCTGCGCTAGCCGTCCCTAATTTAGCAGTGTAAGACTAGAGGGAAGGCAGCTAGTCATCACCACCCGCCGCCAACTCTTGGGCTACTCTTTTACCAACGAATAGTGGGATTGACCGTCACGTTATAACGCCCCCACGGCTGAAAGGGCGAGCATGTTTGGTTGGATGCGGATTCGAACCCGCGACCCTCAGATTGTGAGTCGAGCGCCGTATCAACCTGGCCATGCCGGGCACGTCTCTCTCTGTCTGCAGTTCAATTACATTCCAATGTTGCCGTCACTTCTTACCGGTCTTATATACACAAGAATACCGTACATCTAGTAACCACTCAAGGCTTCAAGAAGAGACACGAAATTTCTAAAAGCTCATGACTGTCGTAACAATATTGTAATCTCAAATAATTTGACAAAATATATTCATTAACAATAAAGGTAAACATATTTAAAAAAGTACACTGACGTATGAATTGGTTTTAGTACAAGTCTCCAGTAGTTTTTGTTTGAAGTTAAGCACAAAGCTACACAAGGGCTATCTGTGCTCTGCCCACCACGGGTATCAAAACCCGGTTTCTAGCGTTTTAAGTCCGCAGACATACAGCGGTTAATCTTTTCTAAATATTATTTTCAAAATGGCGTCATACAATAAGAAGTATTCTTCTTACTACTTAGTGATTACTTTTACTGTAACAACAAAAAAGTAAATTAAAAGTTGAGCACAGATTAAACGATGCTCTATGCCAAAATTAAACTTTATTACTTATATATGAACATTTCATAACAGCCCTAACATTAGTTAATTTCACACGTGCATAACTATCTTTAATAAGATCCATGATCATTTCTTTTACGTAGTAATGAAATATAATGTAAGAAGCATGCAAAAATTCTGTACAAGAATTATTACAATCAACAAATTTTGTGACTTACGTAATACAAGTGTTAGATACAGCGCACTTAAAAAAATCAATTGCAGTATTATGTAATAGAAATAATCGTGTTCGTGAGGAACTTCGTACAATATAATCAACAGAGAAATTCCAAGTGATATCAGTAATTAATAACTAATATCAAATTTAAAAAAATAACACCACAAGATAAACGATTCATCTACTGTAGGGTGGTAAATTTGAACTGTTTGTTTCATTTGTTGTAAGCTACCTTTTTATTGTTGTAATTTGTATGTTAGCTACGAGACAATTGTGGAGTCATTTTTTTCAAAAAAGACAGTTTAATCATTCAGTGAAGTATTTGGATCTATATTTGCTATTGTGCTTAATGAGTTAAGTTTATTTGTTTCATGTTAGTTACATCATTTGTAACGTAAGTCTACAATAATTTACGGCAATGTACAACTGTTTAAGCTTGTAAAAACGTTAAAGAAGAAAATATAAACTCATTCGTTACAGTTTATGTAGACTTGACTTTGAATTATTTTGACCAGGTAATTTAAAATAATCCGCCAACTAATGAACAACGTCACACCTTGTTTGAATGGGTCCAACTAAATAGTTAGGGTACTTTTAACAAGTAGGATGAGGTGAACATTTTATAAGCAATACAAGTAATTATTGTTTTTTTTGTTGTATGTTTTTACATTAAAAGTTCGTAAATTTGAAGTATGACCCCCCCCCCCCCAAAAAAAAAAATTCTAAGCTTACTCAAAAGAAAGAAAGAAAATGAAAACTGGAGAATAACAAGCCAAAGCCTTTTAAAATTATCAACTAGAGTATATAACTATAGTTTTCATTAAACACAACAGACCTTTTCATTAAACACCTTACAAACACATTTATATCACTAGCTCCAGTCTGGTGACCAGATGAATACTTTGGAAAAAAAAAATTTAAACTGCACCAGTAATGAGGACAACAACAACACACAATCTATTAAGTGTTTTTTCTTTTCTTTACCTTTATATGTTTAACATTTTAAGCTGTACTGCACTGTGTATAATTTCTCCTATCCTCCAGATAAACTTAAAAACATCATGCCAGGTTAAATTTATACTACATATAAATACCAACTCAATGGAGAGTAAAGGGGAACCTGCTGTGTCACCAAAACTTTAAAGCATGATGCACAGGGAGAAGAAGAGCATGTATTTCACAATGCTGTGTACAGCCAGCCATAACAGTATATAGTAATTAATGTTATTTTGCTAGACTCATTTTATTACTGGCTGTTTACAACCAAAACTAAATTTAACAAGAAATACTCTTTTACAGAAAAACATGGTCCAGATACTAAGACATCAAAGTTATTTTAAGTTATCAAACCGAAGTATATAATTCAACAATTTTGCAGGAACTAAGATTTCATAAACTATTTGAAATAATTATAAAAAGTTCTTCTATAGGGAATTACACAAACTAGTAGGACATATTTGTACTTCCAAAGCCACCTTTAAGTTCACATTATAGAAAATTAACAGAGATATAATATAAGAATAAATATTTTACTTATAGATCCTTAAAATAACAAGACAGCAACCAAACTTACTATTATATACTATTACTACTTATCTTATTTTTCCCAATGTCTTCCCCCATGAGCCATATCCTACTATATGCTAAAACCATTTCTCCGTCCCTCACACACTTTGGGTCAAGTCAATCCCGACTTTCAATCAAGCAGACCAAATCAAAGCCAACTAATCATTGTTGCTGCTAAATTTTAAACTTTTACTATTGCTTCACTCTCAGTTCACACCAACACTCAGTAGGACCATCACCAGAACCATATACATGTTAACGGTTATAAACATATCATAGAAACAGACATTATGTTTTACTAAACAAAACAGCAACTTAGCAAGCAAAGTGCGTTGGGGTGTCTATTCTATTAAAAAAAAAAAGTACAACTACTTACATAGTTGAAAATACATGCACTGACACACAACAAATGAGTGATCAAACTGGAGATAGTTATCTGCTATAAAACTGGATGTTCTTGTTGTACAGTGGCTACCTCGTTTTGTTGGTTATTTCATTATGAAGTAAGAATTATTTACACGTAACAATTACATTAAATAACAAAATACCATACATTATTTAATTGCTTTACTAACTGTATAGATGTACTGTGTGTATCTTGAAATACACTTTGTGCAAGCTTAAGAGTTTGTATACTACTTGAAATAACTATAAGATGTTGTTCTACTGGGAATTAAGAAAATCACAAGGGCATATGCTTCAATGGTTTGCCTCTTCATTCCAGTACACAATATGAAAGATACCATAGTTTGTGTTAACCTGCAGCAACAATTATTTAAAATGAACAGTACATGTATACTTGTAACTCCTTCAAACAAACAACCAAACTCCAATATTATATTATTTTTTATTCAGTATAGGAATCCTCAGTAAAGTATCTAATGCATCAAGCGGATTAAATACACAAACCAAACACTTGTCACTACCTCAAGTTCCATCATGTCAGCAATTTTAACATTACACATTTATTGGCAAGATGGTTGACTGATACTAAACTTACAGCAGTTTTTGAAAAAAATCATCAATAGCTTTATGAGTTATCAATAAAAACAAATATTTAAGGCCACATTTTCTACATGTGATTGGATGAATATTTATCGAAGAACATGTATTCTAGTCATTGATTAAAATAGTCAGGTCATAATAACTTTGTTTTCATTCACTTTTTCTACACAAAATTACAATAATATACAACTTAATTGAGCATCTGGTACAACAATTTATCAAGTTTATTATAAACTTTCCCAGAATATTCATGTTAAAATATGTTTTGATAACTTGGATATCTCTTTTATGTAGTGGAGAAATAAGATTCTTGGATATAAAGTCAAACAACTATTTTGATAGAAATAACATGTGACAGTTTTTTAAGACATTGAAGATGAAAAGAGTAATCAAAACATTGTTTTTACCATTTTTTGTTCCTATTAAAATCTCATTTTTTAAGCTAACTTTTGTATTAATTGTTTTACTTCATAGGATCCCTCAATATTAAAAAATTAACTCACTTGGTTTTCCAACAAATAATTTGCAAACTAGCACAAAATGTTAAAAACATTCTTGGATAAAAAAAACTTAATGGGAGCTCTTCTTCTCAGATTTAACATGGTGAAATCGTTTTATCACTTTAACCACTAGAAAAATATGCTTTATTTTGGTCCTAACATTTCCTCTGGCTTTACTAACTGATCAAACTGTTCAGATGTTAATAACCCAAGCTTAATAGCAGTTTCTTTGAGTGTTGCTCCATCCTTGTGGGCTGTCTTGGCAATTTTGGCTGCTTTGTCATATCCGATGTGTGGATTGAGTGCAGTAACTAGCATGAGAGATTCATTAAGGAGTTTGTTGATGCGTTCTCTGTAAGAATACAAAATTGAATTACTGTGCTATAACATATAAGAACTTAATTACCTATTTGATTTTTTGTGGATCTCTTGTGTGCGATAACAAAAAAATTCTGATGTTTTGTCACACAAACATCCATTCAACAGATCATGCTCTGCCAGTCTAAGCACTTTATGTAATATTTTGTGATAAAGCACAAAATTTAAGTAACTTCCAAATTATTATAATTTATGACCAATACTTTTTGATATACCACAGAACTAAATGTGGGTACACATTCAAACTCTGATATTTTATTCTTACACAGCTAAAACAATTATTTCTGTCAGAGAATCTGTGCTACTTTACCCAGTGTCTATCTCCATGAGCCATGTCTGTTAAAAAAAAGTTTGACTATTTTCAAAACTCTTAACACAGATGAATTCCCAATACAGTTTTGAAATGTTGGAGTGATGTTTAATAAGACTCTTGAAAATACTTAAATGTGACATTTAAGCATACTTTTTTTTAAGGATTCACAAAATCACAGACTACAAGTGCTTGATGTTAGGAATGAGTTAATTACCTTCATTTTACTTTACACTATTAATAACTGTGCATCACAGACTACAAGTGTTTGAAGTTAGGAATGAGTTAATTACCTTCATTCTACTTTACACTATTAATAACTGTGCATCACAGACTACAAGTGCTTGATGTTAGGAATGAGTTAATTACCTTCATTCTACTTTACACTATTAATAACTGTGCATCACAGACTACAAGTGTTTGAAGTTAGGAATGAGTTAATTACCTTCATTCTACTTTACACTATTAATAACGGTGCATTACAGACTACAAGCACCTGAAGTTGGTTCCATAACTTGCCTTGTAACCTAATAATAACCATTTCTATCCTCTGTTTTACATTACACATAAACATGTTTCTCACTACTATACCACTTACTTGTTTGCTTGAATACCTCCAACACAGTTGCTGGTAAATGACACACAGCTATCTGCAATCAGTCTGGAAGAACGAAGCAAATTTGCAACAATCATTGGCTTAAAGACATTCAGTTCAAAATGACCGTTGCTTCCACCAATAGTGACGGCTACATGATTCCCCATGACCTGAGCAGCTACCATGGTGATAGCTTCACATTGGGTTGGGTTCACTTTACCTACAGAGACAAAACCATTCAAGAACATAAGGGGTTTTCAATTACTGTTGACAGTTAAAAGAAAATGATGAACCTCACTATTAGGTTTGACTCCTCTTATGCCCCTAAACTTAAGTTACAGAACAGATGAAGCAAGCCATACAAACCGCAATCAAATCCAATATAGTGAAAGAGTTTAAAATAATTTTTTTGCATTCCAGATATTACATAAACCATGCGACACACATAATACTACACATCCTGCAGACCACATGACAAGAAGTTACCTAATTAGACATGGTACATACCCTGCTGACTTGTCGACAACAAGCTGCATCATTAGACATAGTAATAGACAACCTGTAGACCACATGACAACTTTTTTGTTGAAGTTTTAACACAGCTACTTTAGGGCTATCTATGCTAGCCCTAATGATAGACTAAAGGGAAGGCAGCTAGTCAACACCACCCACCACCAACTCTTGCACTACTCTTTTTACCAATGAATAGTGGGATTTAGCATCATATTATAATGTAACCACAGCTGAAAAGGTGAGCATGTTCAGCAATGGAACTCAAATCCGTGACCTGCAAATTGCGAGTCGAGTGCTCTAACCACCAGGCCATGCCAGTCTTGAAAACAGGACAACAAGATGCTTTATTAAACATACATACTTTGTAAACTGCATGATAACAAGCAATATATTTCTTGTAAACTAAGTGACAATAAGCTGGTTTATTAGACATATCCTGTAGATTACATAACAAGCTACCTAATTAGACGTGATAGGACGTACCCTGTAGACCACATAACAAAAACTGTCTAATCAGACATAATACGTACATTACATGAGAACAAGTTGCCTAATGAGATTTGATAACATATACTCTGTAGACTACATGACAAGCTGTCTAATGACATTTGATAATGTATACCCTGTAGACTACATAACAATATGCTACCTAAATAGATTTCATAATATATACCCTCGAGACCACAAGACAATAAGCTGTCTAAATAGATATGATAATACATATCCTATAAACCACACAAGTTTCCAGTTACCATACTTAAAATTTGACTACATGAGAACAAGCATGTCTTATCTAGCAAGATAATATTCAAGATCATGTTGTAACCTATATTTTCAATGTTATAATTTAGTAATAGTTGTTTGCTAGATGAAGCTGCTAACCCTGATGAAGATTGAATAAGATTTCAGTCAAGTATATAATGAGTGTTTCAGTTCTATTCAGTTATTCAGTGACTAATATGTTTATCAATCAAGGCTAAGTAAGTTAGGTGTGTATACATACCACCAGTGAGAAACATTTTTGTTGAAACATTGTTTATGAACTTAGGCATATAAATTATGTCAAAATGAGCATAACCTGTAGCAAATATTATAAAAGAAAGAAATTAATGTGTTATCATTAAGTGGATTGTAGTTCGCATTAATTTGACCAAATAATAAAAAAACAAAAAAACACCATCACCAAATGAAAGAACAATATTACAACAACTTTTATCAGGAGTGGGATTAGTTTGATGAAAAAACAGAACTTTAATGAAACTTCAACTTTCAGAATGACCATCTAGTTACAAAGCAAGATTGTAAACTTTCTAGAGATGAAAAGACAATGAAAAGAAGAACAAAGATGAATAAACATAGCATTAAAAGATAAAAAAAAGAAACAAAATTAGAAGAATGAGACAGAAAACTAAAGAAAGACCAAGAACATATTAGAATTTAAGAGAGGAGGAAAAAAAAAGAGAGAGATGTAATATTTGCAGAATAATTAAAAAGAAAATATATCTGATTGAACACGAGATGAATGAGCCTTATTATACATGTACAGAGACAGAAAGGTGCTACAGAAAGACTGTAATGTCAAAGTTGTAGAGCACAAAAAGAAGTCAATGAAACATCTGGAAAATGAATTGGTAAATGCAAAGATTACACAAGCAACACTTCTTTCTATATGTAACCAAAGATTTTCAACCTAAAACACCATATATTATAAAATATGAAATAGGAGCACCTATTTGGTCTACACCTGTTACCATTACTGCTGTGCTATCTGTTACTGCAGAACCTTCCAATCACGACACTATTAAATCCAGTTCCAGAATTTAGCTTGCTAACTCAACAACATCACCTATTGAAACCAACGGAATATAATGGAAAGGTACCATGGGAGGCATATTAGGCTCAGTTCAAATAAATTTCTAGAGTGAACAGATGGTATAGTGACAACGAGCTATCCATTTTACAACCCATTTAAAAGGATAAGATTTAATGGAATTAAGTAACCTTCCAGCTTAGACCCATAGCAACTATGAAGCAGAGTAACATGTCAGAAAGAAGTATTCATAGTAATGGGCTAAAACAGAGCATGGAGGAGAGAAGAGATCTTAGTTGAGCATGTGGAAAATTTGAAAGATGCCCAATTAAAATACTCAGATGCTTCATGCGAAATGATGAATTTGTTTGACCAATTTATAGATGCCATAACAGATGAAGATATGAGAATTAGTTGAAGCAAAGTAGATGACTATTTTCAAAGTTGGTGATGGGATTTGAAAAAAGTAAGCAAACAAGGCTATAGATATTGTAGATATAATTCACTCAAACTACAAACTCCTATTTTGGCTCCATGCTGTTACCTAGAATTACATTTGGTAGACTCAAAATAGGTATTTTCAGTTTGAGTAAATAATGTTCACAGTATCTCCATCCTTGTTTTCTTACTTTTTTTTTACGATCCCTATTTGCAGGTTTTTTTAATTCCCAATTTTTTTATATGTCTTATTTGCTGGATTTTTTATGCTCAAATATGGGCAAAGGAATACTTGATATGATAGTTAACTTTATATATCGTAACGATAATAAAAATAGCTAGTAACTAGCTAATATGGTTCATGATGATTTACTGTAACTATTGACTATTTGATTGCATAAGTTCAAGATGTAAAATGTAAAGCTGCAGCTGTAGATTGTTAAGGAAAATTGTTTGAGAATATAGTGAGCATTTATAGTTTCTGTGTAACTAAATTCTCTGCATAAAATACATAACAATGGCAAATATATGCCTAGACTAAGACACAACCCCTACTAAGCACATAAAATTTTACCAGTACAAATAAAACATATATGTCTAAAGCATTACTTTAAATAAACCTTTGTGTCTTTTAAAGTAATTATTCTACTAATGTGTGTGATAAAATTTGATATTATGTGTACTGATTTTTCTTTCACTCCTTCATTTCATACATAATATAGGGGTTGGATTCCTAAAGACACCGATTGTATAGTGTACAAAACATTGAGTATCTACATGTTACAGTCATCTAATATCCACCTATTATTGGCTAGTAATTCCAGTTTCACCCTGTACTGAAATTTTTAAAGGAAATTCATACCATTTGTATTTTCACTAATTTTATTAAACATCAGCAATACAAAAAACATTCTAACTTCTAAACAACGAAAAATTTATTCTGTAACAAGTTTATGTTATAAAGGTGCAGGTGTCCTAAACAATACTAACTTTGATGAAAACAAATCTTTAAAGTAAAGACAAACTGTTAAAAGTGTTTGGAGAAAGCTAAAACATGTGAATTTACCATAGCAGTATTTCATTGACATTAATACTGCTGTATTCATTTAGAAATAATAAATTATTTTCTGATGTCTTAACTGGATTGGCACAGACTCTGTGTTGAATTCAGAAAACCTCAAAATAGCTGAATTACATAAAAACACTGACAGTACTATTATAGCAGTGTAAAGATATGTGGCTATTTTTTTATTAATTTCTAAGAAAAATGAATGGAAGGAGTATGTTTCCCTGAACCCTTTTCATATATCCATGCCTGCTTATTAATTCTTGCAAGTTGGGGGTTGGATTCCCTAGGCCCTCTCCTCAAGATCTGCACCTACTTATACAATACTAAATAATACAGTTATTAATTTCTGAAAAAAGATCATGGGGTTCAGCCCAGTGGACCCCTTTGAACCATGTCTGAATATCTAAAAATGCAGTTAAGTAGCCAGAGACTTGGTAGTGGGTGCTGCCAGCTAGCCAGCAGTTCAAAATTAGTGACAGTGACAGATAGCCTTACTAGCGTTCCAATAACAAAGACACATGGTGAGAAAGTTCAGTGACAATGGGAATCAGCCCTGAGTCCCCCCCAGATATGTACCTTTGTGCTTAACAACAAAAAAACATAATAGCAATATTTCAATTAGCTGATTGTTGGAATAACCAAAAATCAATGTTTAGATGAACTGTAATGTATCTAAAGAATACGCTTGTGATAAAATGAAAAATAACTAAAAAGCTAATGGTGATAAGACTGGATTTCATCATGGTGACATGGTATGGCTTAATAATTCCCTTCAGAAAAAAGAACAAACTCCAATTTAGATAGGTGTTTAGAAGAAACATACATTGTAAAAAAATGAAACCAATGATTTGACTTACAAAATATAGAAAGAGAGGTAGTTTGAGTCACAATCATTTTTAGGAATTATGTTGGTGAGAGAATAGCCAATTGAGTGATTTACATAGAGGAATTTGTTTGTGGAAAATCATCCTGCTGAAAAGTACAGGGTTCTTGTTAAGACCTCTTCAAGAGGTTCATCAAGGATAGAGCTGCCAGTAAATTCACTTGGAGAACTATCCAACTTCCCCAATAGCAGGATATGTGAAGAAAAGAGACAAGATCTCTTCCCATCTGCATACCATCAGCCCTGGAAGAGAAAACTACCACATGGACTTGGTGGACTGTTGCGCATTAAATTGTTCAAGATACCTCACAATCCAGAAAGAGGGCAGTGTTGTAAACTAAATTTATAATTTAGTTATTTGCTAGAGGGAGCTGCTAACCCTGATGATGTCCAATATCTTGAAACGAGGGTACGTCATTTATAAATACAAGTAATCAGTGTGTGAAAGTTTAATGAGAACAGTGAAAAATTCAATAAGCATTTCAGTTCTATTCTGCTAATCAGTGAGTTGCAGGTTTATCAATCCATTAGTAAGGAATTTCTTTTAAATGCTGTTTGTGAACTTAGGCCTACAACTTGTGCCAAAGTGAACTTATCCTAAAACAAATTTTAGAAATAAATAAATTAATTCATTATGATTACGTGAACTGCATTTTGTATTATTTTTTTGCCAAATAATCCAAATGAATCCACAGAATGAAAGAACAATGTTACAACAATACATTATCTGTAAACTACATAACAACCAACATATTTTACCTGGCATGATACTACTTCCTGGTTCATTCTCGGGCAAGATTAATTCTCCTAATCCACATCTCGGGCCAGATCCAAGGAATCTGATGTCATTAGCAATCTTCATTAAGCTACAGGCAATCACGTTCATAGCTCCAGACACTTCCACCATGGTATCATGGGAAGCCAGAGCTTCAAACTTGTTTGGTGCTGTTACAAATGGCAAACCTGAAAGTAAAATTCAATGAAGAATGAGGCAAACAACCATAATAAGAAAATTGTTGTTGTTATCCAACTGAAATACTATTGTAATTTTCAATATGGTTTCATGATTAAATATCAAATATTGGGAAAAATACAATTATACTTGTTTTAGTTCAAACCTAAACAGTTGGCTATATGCTTTGTGTCTGCTGCAGACACGAACCCCAAATTTTAGCAATGTTAGTACTCAAGAAAATGTAATTTTTTTGTGAAAATTAATTTAAAGATTATTATATTGTGATACTGAAATTTAATTTGGGACATAATTAAAAACAATTCTGAAAATATGTTTCTGATGGATACATCCGATAGATACTTAAACTTTCGCTCCCTCTAGCCTTAAACTCCTACTTAATTCCACATGGTTCAACTGCATTTAAGCATGCAAACTAGCATGTGACAGTCCTCCACCAATAGGAGTGTGACAAATCCTCCTATTGCAGCTGACTCCCTCTATGCAGTTGAACCCAATCTTCACATCATGATTAGGCACAAAAAATGACACCAGAAGTGGGAAGTGTGAGAGAGGTAAGTATCTATTTGGAAATATATTTTCAGTGTAGGAAAATATCAACTTCTGATACGACTACTTACCTCCACTCACAGTTACAACTAGAATCCCACATTGAGAAGGTAGAGGGACAAGTGTAAATTTACCTAGAGGAGCACCCTTCAAAAGTGTCTGAAGAACACCCATGGAGTGTGTCTTCTCAATGGAGAGGAAACACACTTGTGAGAGACCACACCACATCTGAAACAGGTATACTCTTCGCCCATGTGAAGCTAACAGGTGTGGTGTTGCAATCAAAAGGTGGAAGGCAATAATTTCAAATCCCTAAGGAAAAGGAATGTGTAGAGTGGCTAGGGCACATCTGACCAGAAGTGAGAAATCAACTCCAGTCCAGACCAGTGGCACCAGGAGGAACTCAGTCAGGCGGGTCCTCAACCATTCTCCTTATGTCTAGGAACCAGAAGGTAAGAAGAGCCTCCATTCCAAGAACCTAAACCATCAAATGTGCACATCCAGCAGCAAGAAACCCTGAGAATGTACATCCGGATGATGTCAGGAAGTTGGAAATGCAAAGTGGAGGGTCAATTCTAGTATAAAATTGATTGTCATTGGGGATGTAACATCCAGTCCATTGTAGGAGAAAGTTTCCAGTCCACTCATACGTGAGGACTTATGTTGGCTGGTCTGGCTCCATCCTAAACCAGTTGCCCAGAAAATTACATCCAGAAAGCAGAAGGAGGGAGGGGTGAACTGCAAAACAGATAGAAAATTCCAGTTCAGACCAAAAGCATCTGGAATAAAACATCAGACCCATGGCAGGAGGATACTCACGCCTTCTACACTGGTAAATCACCCCCTCCCTACTCTTAACTGAGTGGAATTGTGCACATTCAGGAGGATCCTCCATGATCCACCGCCCCAGTGGTTAGGAGTTGGGAAGTGGTAAGGGCTCTTGTACTCCACTGGAAGAGGGAGGAATGCGGTGAAGAGTCCTGAGGAATGCATCACTGGTGCAAATGCAATGGGTGACCACCAAATCCAATTTTGAAAAGCAGACCATTCCTGATTCCAGCAATCTAAGGAACATTAGAAACGGGCATCAATCTCTTTCTGCTTTACTCATGTTAGTCCATGAGTGTACAGCCTGGTACAAACATACTTTTGATGCAACATACCATAAGGAAGAACCTGCAAGCAGTCTTATGAAACACCCCATCTCAACAATGAGCATGATAGACCTCACAGATCTTACAGTGTGGATTTTGGATATGAGTATACCTGGACAGGCACCACTCATCACAGAGTGGGATCCATAACATGTGGAGTAGGCCCCTGAAGGAAAAAAACTAAAAAAAAACAAACTTATCACTCAGAGTTGTACCGATGTATGGAGAATGATTACAGGAGGGAGGTTATATCTGGCAGAGAAGGAAATTGTCAGATGGTGCAAGTAGTGTGACACAAAGGTGTGGGGAGTAGTTCATATCCCTGCCTGGATAATCTCCGCCAAAGGTTGATAGAAATGAGCTGCCATTGGGGATGACAGATATGATGGGATGAAATACAGAACAACTGGCAAAATTCGGGCGAAAGTGAGGAGAGTCATGAAAGGATGTTGTAAGTGACACAACACTGTAAAGCATGGACTGGACATAGGAAACGATTTGGATCAGAGCAGGAGGAAATTTAGGATACTGAAAGTAGGTAAAAAGGGGTGAAGGCAAAATTTCCTTCATTGGCATATGATGCTTTGGGAAGGAATGATCGGGATATAAAAGAACAAATGGTTTGTGGTGGAAAATGTGGTGAACAAGTCCGACCAGTGATGTCCATAAGCCAAAGGAGAAGGAAAAGGAGAATCCATGCTGGATAGACCAATGATAGAATATTCTCCACTCATGTTGATACACAGGCATGGATGAGAAATAGACAGAGTGAGACAACAAAGATGCTACACTTGTGGATAGTCCCAAACCCCTCACAAAGGATCAGACAAATGCCATGCATGAAGCTGGAGTGTGGGAACAGAGGGATGAAGCACTCTTGTGAGGTTGCCAGAGGAAGGACCGGAAGAGAGGGAAAGATACTGGAGGTAGTTCCTGGAGAAGGGACATGGACAGAAGCTACGATTGAGCCAGTCAGAACAAAGCCACAAAATGTACTTGGGGTAGAAGACAGATAGGAGGGTATGTATAAAAGAAAAGGTCCTTCCAATCCTGGCTGAAAGCATCCACAGCCAAAGCCAAACGATATGGAACTGGGGACCAAAAGAGTGGAAGTTTTGCATTTAAACGAGTGGCAAATGCATAAAGCTTGGAAGTATCCAACTGAAAATATAACCATCTGAATACTTGGTCAATAGACCACTCCATGGGTAGAAGCTTGTCAGAGCAGGATAGACAAACAGGGACAAGATTAAGGACACCTGGTAAGTGACAAGCCAGCAAATGAACTTGATGGTTGTGAGCCCAGAAGATGAGCACTACCAGTGTGTGGGAACACAAAGACTGGGATCGAGTGCCACCTTTTCAGGAGATGTAAGAGACAATCATCAAGTTCTTGAATGAATTATAACTGTCATGCCCTGCAGAGACAACATAAATTGAACAACCACCTGACGATTAGCCTGGAGCTTCAAAACGTTGATGTGAAGACATAACTCCTCCTAAGACAAAAGTCTCGAGAACTCCTGTGTATTGCAGCACACACCCCATCTTGACAACGAAGCATCTGTGAAGATGTGGATATCCAGACAGGAGAAAGAGGCACCCCCACTGTCATGTAGTCCCTGTCAAACTACCAGAGGAAGTCATACAGAAGGGAAGCAGGAAGAAATATCTGTAAATCCTGAGGGTCCATGATGAGGTGCCACTGATCTTGTAGTACCCACTGCAAGGAATGCATGTGGGCATGGCCCAGAGTGATATGAGCCTCCAGTTATGCTAAAGAACCCAAAAGAAACAGAACCTCACATACAGGGAGATAAGATGCTGATAGTGCCCTCTGAGCTAAAAACTCCAAGGCATGCAGATGAAGAGAAGGCTGGGTTCGATGGATAACAGACTTCTCCGTGTAGATAATCCAACCCACCTGGGTAACTTCTCTGATGAGAAGTTGGGTGAGTGTGGAAGACTCTGCAAAGGATGGAGCCATAGAAGAAGCCAGATATTCATATAAAAATGTAAGTTGAGCCAACAAAAACTTAGGAATCTGGCAAATTACTGGACCAACTGACAGAAAGCATAGGGTGCTGATGCCCACAAAAACATAGGAATCCAGCAAATTACTGGACCATCCAACAGAAAGCATTGGGTGCTGATAGCAGTGCGAAAGGAAGAGCTCAGAATGGATAAACCTGATCCTTATGGACAAAACGTAGATAGTGACAAGAAGCCCGAGCACAAGGGATGTGAAGATAAGTGTCAGACACATCGAATCTCATCATCCAAAGCCCTGGAAGAAAGGCCCATCTGAGGGACAGGTAGGATTTCATGGTGAGTCAAGGCAAGTCAAAGAAGTGATTCAGATGGGAGAGATCAAAAATAGGATGCCAATACAGGTTCTTCTTGGGGACAACAAAAAGTCAGGAATAGAATCCTGGAAGCACAGGAGAAACCTGTTCGATGGCATCCTTCATGAGAAGGTCTTGGACTGCTTCCTTGAGACACTGGCAGAAAATGGGTTCTTAAGGGGGGTGGGGAGGAACTGGGACAGGGATAATAAGGTGGGAGGAAAAGAAGGGAGAGTCCCTTTAACAAAAGTCGAATGACCCAAGGATTTGCTGAACAATGATATGCATGAGCCTCTGCAGTACCAGGGCAGCATAGCATATTAACCCCCACAATTAATTGATCTGCAAAACATTCAGCATGAACCCCAATATTAAGTAAAGGGGGAAAAATCAAAAATTTAGAACTAGGTGCTGCAGTTAACATGTTGGCTGCCATGTGCCCTACTGGTGGGTCACAGACAGTTATGTTTGAAAGCCAAATTTCTGTTGTGGCATATGAGTTTGGGACACTGTGACTGCTCCTTGGCAACATTTGAACGTTTAGTTGTATTTATACTTAATTTATTATGAGGTTAAAAAGGAAGGGGAGGGACCAAATCACATGGGTGACTTAGACAAAACACAACATACTTGTGATATTAAGTCTAAAAATGGTGACTGGGGGCCAGGCAATTCAAAAGGCTGAGAATATGCCTACACAGCAAAAGAAGGGGGAGAAAAGCTGTCCAAATCCACTTCATCCTACTTTAAGTCCTCAGATAATGGCAGAATTGCTTACCGATTGGGAGATCCCTTGGCCCACATAAAAGAAGCCATCTCCTGATGAACTACGGCTGACAATTCCTCCACTGATAATGCCACACCTGCAGCCATTGTAACAAGCTGTTGAACACCAGTATCATCGGTAACCATTGTAGTCGTAATAGTAAATTGTGAACTTAATAATATTGATTGACTACCAGTAACAGAGTGAGAAAAATAATTCACAATCAAATGAAGAAACCCAACTTAAATAGGGAATTATAAACAATACTTTGAATCTGTTCAAAATGCACTAAAGAAACAAAAATGTTTGAAATCAAGCAGTAGGTGTTGTGCCAAATCAAGAGGAGGAGTTTGGGTTCAACTGCACAGAGGGAGTCAGCTGCAATAGGAAGGTTTGTCACACATCTATTGGTGGAGGACTGTCACATACTAATTTGCATGCTTAAGTGTAGCTGAACCACGTGGAATTACGGGAGTTTCAAGGCTAGTGGCAAGAAAAAATTTGCGCACTAGAGAGCAGTTAAGTCAAGAATAGCTGTAACTGTGGGAAGAGATAAGTAATCGTATCAGAAGATAACCCTAGTAAAGGTGAACATTTAGCTCTTACAGGATGAGAAATATGGAAGATTTAATTATTCAAAATGTGATAAAGACAGTGTTATTGTATTAATGAATAAGAAGTTTTATAATAATATGGCTTTTGAAAATTTAAATTCTATAGCATTTTATGGAAAAACAACATCTGAGAATTCTTGTTTTTATGTTAATATTAAACAAGAAATTATCAATTATATTAATAAATTTATGAAGTTCTTAATAATAGAGAAAAAAAAGAGTATTCTGTTAATAGACAAAAACAAGACATTTTTATGTGTTTCCCAAGTTAAATAAATGTTAAGCTTCAAAATTGCCTTTAACCATATGGATATGGTCAAAGTATACACAACCTTAAATAATATTCAACGTTAAACTGGCAAACAATTAAAAACATTTTATTTAGGCCTATCTATGAGCTTCAAAAAAGTTGACGACTCTACATGTTTCAACGTTACAGGATGACGTTGTAACGTCGAAACATG